ATCTAACCTAACTATAAATACTCAAAAAAAAAAAATTAATAGTATAATTCAATAGTATTTTTTGATAACATAATCTGATAATATATATATGGTATAATTAGATAGCAAAACTTGATAACATATACAAAATAGCATTAATTAATTATAATTTTACAATATATACAGTATATAGCATAATTAGATAATATATTCAATTACATATATTATATATATTGTACCTGATAGTATCTATATAATTACTATTTGCAGTAGTAATCTGTGAGTAATGATATTAGAAATTGGAAGGGTTTTCACTTGAACCTCTAATGGAATGATAAATCACTTCTGAAGTTGTATTTAGAGAGATAATATAATCAAAACGAGTGAGTTGGTTAGAGATTTAGCTTTAGTATTTTATTTAATATGTACAGCTTATAAATATTTAATAAAACATATATAACTAACCTGACAGAGGATTAAAAAAAAAATTGTATCTATATAATTACTTTTTCTGTTTTTTCAAATGATACATAAATTACATTTTAATTATCAAATCTATAATAAAATCTATTCAATATACAATTATTTATATATAACCTAATAATATAAATCAGTCATAGTTATTAATCTATTATGTATTATATTATATATGAGTCAATAGTTATAGTTGATATTTGAGCAATATGAGAAATCAATCATAATAATCAAATTAGTATACAATCCTCAATATCAAATTTGAGTTATAATAGAAAGTATAGAAAGACTAGATTAATATATCATAATCTAGTTCAGTTATTTTCTTACAATGAAATTTACTCAAAAATATTAAGCTAATATATAAATATTTACTAAAGTGAATACAATATATTGATATCGAATTTAATTTTTTAAAAAATATATAAGCCATTTATCTATAAAAATGATTACTTGAATAATAAGGCAAATACAAAATATACTTTAAATATCATATATATTAGTAACTTCCAATTGATAATATAAGTATAACCTATATATCATCTGTATATTCATCATTAATAAAGCAAATATAAAATATATATTATTTAAGTGATAAGGTAAATATAAAATACATATCACATTTGAGTATATTATAATATAACTTAATTAGTTAGTTTATTTTTTTTATAGTCATATTGACTGAATTTTTATTAATTTAGAATTAAAGTAATATAAATTAATCTATAAATAATTATACTTATAACTATTTTAGTTCATACTATTCTATCTAACTTAATATTCTCAATTTTATCCTTTTTTAGTGAATATTATTTTATTAGCTATCCTATTGTATTCAGATAGTTAGTATTTCAAGAAGTTACTAGAGACTACTATTATTTTTATTAATTAGAAACTGTGATATTATTTTATTTATATAATATGTTAATTTTAGAATGAGATATATTCAAATCTTATATAATGTATTTGCCATATTTAATTCTTCAGAGGCTAGATTATTAATGCTTTTAATCTCTATATAATCTGAAATAGATTTTCTAATAATCATTGATAAGCTTGATATATAATCTAAGTTTTTTAGTAATTATTCTTAATTACTTTTTAAAAATAGTCTATAGAGATTTTTCTTGATCAAACAAGATTTTAGATCTCTTTCAAATATATTCCCTTTTACAATTCACATTATAATTACTTTGTTTTATCATACTCTTAAGCAATTAAAGTCTATTCTTCTGATTCCTTTTAATGACTGATACAAATAACTGAAATCTTTCAATACTTTCTATAAGTATAGTATTTTGAGAAGAGATAAATTTTATATAAAGTTGATAGGATCTTAAAACAATCAATATTATTCCTAATATTCTTTAATGGCTTTAAATATTCTAGGTAATAAAGATATTATAACTTTTTATTTTAGTACTAAATTTGATCAGAATTTGCATAATCTGATTTATTATACTATAGTTGGATAATAAATGTATATATGATTAATGAGTATATATTTTATACAATATTAACCTATATTATATGAACTATTTATAAGTAAAATTAAATCAATAACTTGTAAATAGTAACCTAAAAATATATCTATTATATTATTGATTCACAGATCCTTAAGTAACTTATAATTTCAAGAAATTATAAACTACCAAAGATTTTGGTATAATAAAAAAACTTATTTTTTTTAGCTTTTACTTTTATAATTTTTTAAAAAATTTTGTTTACTTTAGTTTATTTTTAAATTTTGAATAGTATAAATCTTTATAAAAAGTGATTAATTAATATGAAATATATTAATTTATAAAATATAAACAAATATTTGTTAATTATATTCATGTTTTTTGATAATATTAGTAATGACATAAAAGAAAATTAATTTTTTAAAAATCTTAAATTCTCAAAGAAGATATTTAAAATATTAAGAGATAAGAGATAAACAATATACGTATAATAAATTGCAAAATCTATTTTTTTTAAGTTCTTTAGATAATAAAAAAACTTTTTTAACTAAAAATCAAGATTTTTAAATTTCTTTTGAATCATTTTAATCCAATGTTTATTTAAATGATAAATCTAATAAGATTGATTTACCTGATATCTCAGATAATAATCTTTTTCAAGATTCAAGTAAAGTAAGAAAAATATTTTAATTAGATAAATCTTTTTTAAAAGAAAAATATTCAATTGATAAATTTTTCTAAAAGAACTTGAAGAATTATAATATATCTCTTTTATTTTACTTTTTCACTTTCTCCTTATTAACTTAGCAATTCATAATTTTCAAAAAATTTATAGTAACAAACTATTAATAATGAATCTAATGGTAAGGGTTTATATTAATCCTTTAGAGAAGTGAAATATTGTTTTCTAAATCTAATCTAGAATACTTCAATATACAGTAATAACAAGTTTGCAAAATCTGTAAACTTCTCAATAAAGATTAAGCCATGTGACATTGGTTGCGAGTTAAAAAAAAAAAATAATAATAAAATAAATAAATTATTTGTTCTTCGCCAACCAATCCGACCGCAAGATCCGATGGAATAAATACTCTAGGTTTTCGATCGCTTAGGCCGCTTGGCACGTGTTTTTTTTGTTATTTTTGCTGCCTTCATGAGAGCGTCTAAGGGTGTCTTTCATAGTGCTCTTTTGCACACTGAAGGTGATAGATTGACAAAAACTTAAATGTTATACCTACCAAGTAGAGAAGAGGGCAGCGATCCCAGACCTCGACCTCTACCAGTGACAGCGCATAAAAGCAAAGGGAGAGTTCAACAGTAAGTCTTCGTTTCGACCACTCAAAATTAAGGGCATTCTAATAGCGTCTTTCCTCACACTCTCCATGTGTGTTAAACTTTCTTGGTGCCTTATTAAGCACTAGAAATCGGTGAGGGGTTCGTCTTCTGTACGCCATGTATTGCCTTCATTGAGATTTAATGGCTTTTCCGGCTGTGCTGTGAAAAATTCACTTTGATTTAAAGGTGGGTTTATTTTGGTGTCCATCGATTAACCAATCAGACGAATTGTTGACGAACATTTTTCTTTAGTTCCCTCGTGTATATTAAGTGAGCGATATAAATTGTGTCTCTAAAGCATCCAGTTATTCGGCTCTCTACTTTGACCAATAGAAACGAGGTTCGGTCGTACCGGGAGTTTCGGAGGGAATGTTGATCTTGTCGAGCGAAATAGGGACCCTAACTATTTCGGATTCGATGTTCCATCTATTATTAAACTTTGATAGATGGGTCGTATCCTATTATGGTATTTTAGTTTGATCTTTAGACCTTAGCCGCTAATTGCATCGTATCAAAATGGTTTGACCAAAATTTGTTACTAAGAGAAACAAAATGGGAAAGGCTTCGGTATCATAGCACGTGATTTGCCGACCTCTCCATCGTCTAAACACGCCATACTTAATAACGTTTTTCCTTAATTGAGATACTGTATATTGTCTTATCCTTCAAAGAGAAAGTTCACCTTTATGCATGTGTCATTACGCGATTCAAATATCACATGAACATCTAAACGAGAAGCGAACTACATACACCTCTTGGATACGTTCGGTGATCTCTAGCAAGAAAGCAGATTATCATGATTAAAATTTTAGCCACTTTCAGTCTATCGGTCCTTAATGGGGACGACATGAATTATAATGGTCGCATAATAAAGATGTGTAATGAATTAGGGTGATGCGTGTTGTTTGTGTATTTGTAGGTCATGTTCACGGATATCGATTAAAAAAGAAAGAAAAAAAAAATGCTTTGTGGTCCTGCAGACTCGAGGAATAAAAAGAATACATACACGGATAATAGGAAAAAAAAAAAAAAGTCAATTCACACTCCCATCTTGTCAATAATATTTTCTTTATTAAAATAAAAATAAGGTTCTAGAGATACCGGCAAACCTTCAAATGCAACCATCATGTTTTCCTTCTTTAGATGCACGTTTAGACCTCATAGAACCTTCAGGAAAATTCCTTCAGCAAATTTTTTTCATGTGGGTCCTAAGGGAGGTGCATTCACTGTTACGTAGAGGTTCATTTATTAATGATTACATAATATGTTGACAAATCACGTTCACATATTTTTCTAGAATCTAAAGAGACTTGCACGTACAAATTTCGTTGCAAGGTTTTATTTAACCCAAAAAAAAAATAGCGCACAGCTTAAATGTCGTTAGCCCCCATGCAACAAATTATGTAAGTTTACGCTTTGCAATGCATGTAAAAAAAATTATCGACATCGATATATGTTGATCAAATCTAATCAATTATTGGCTAAAGATTCATTTTGTAATACTAAAAAAGGGTGTTACTTTTAATTAAATAGAACTGACGTACCCTAATTTCTCTTCTTACTCTTTTTTTTTTTTTTTAGCTTAAAAAAAGGAACCATACGATCAAATTTTCAGAATTTCTATCCTTCCCCTTCATGCTTCTTCCTCTATAAACATTATATTCTCAATTTAAGCATTACAGAATCCCTCTTAGACATACATTCCTTTATTTTATTTATTCTATTTTATTTTATCCTTTAAAACAAGCAATGAATCAAGGAGAAAAAATTCATCAATTCAATGTATTATATAAGGAATATGAATCTGTAGTTGATGACCTCAAAACCGCTCTCTTAGAATTTCTACCTGAACTCCAACAAGAATTAGACCTGAACTTCACCCAAGTCGAGTACATTAGACAATATCTCAATGACAGAGGTAACAATGAATGCTTCTTCAAATATTCTTACATTTTCCTCTTTGAAAGCTAGTGGAAGAAAGGATGTTAATTGCAGAAGCTAATAATAACGCATCGTTTCTCTCTTATAGGTACTCTTTTTCGTTTTCTCAGGAGGGCTGGCTTCGATTTTGATAGCTCCTTTAAGGAACTCATAGCTGATCTTCGGTGGCGAATTGAAAATCAGGTTGACACACTTTCAATCCAAGATGTGCATCTATCTCTCATAGAGAGAGGTCTGTTCTTTATTCACAAAACGGACAAGTTCAACCGACCTTGCGCTATAATTAATCTTCGAGAATATTTTCACGAGAATGGATCACCGACCATCGAAGAAATTAAAAAATTCATCATCTTCGTTGCCGAAGTTGCTAGAAGGTTGCTGTGGGATAGAAACAAAAAATCAGGAGACGAACCAGTATTGCAATACGTCATTTTGTTAGATTTGAAAGGAGCTGGCGTTACCACCTTGGTAAATACAAATGTGCAATCAATTACGTTAAACAAACCGCGGGTTAACCCGATTGCTATCTCTTTTTAGGATCTCGAATTAGGACCTTTTGCCGTCGACATCATGCGGCATCATTTTCCCGGTTCGGTGGGCGCCAGTAAGCCTAAATAATATTTGGATAAAACTTTTTCCAAACACCGTGACAATCCAATTCAATTCAAAAAAAAAATTTTTTTTTTTTTTTTCTTTGGAAAACAGTATTCGTATTGAATTATGGTTGGATGTACTCTGGCATATGGCAAATCTTTAAACGCATTCTCCCGGAAGAATCCCTTAACCGAATCTTTTTCCCTTCCGAAGATGAAGTGTTAAACTATTTTGATGAGGAGAATGTGTTGATCGGTACGTCATAAGAATGTCAAAAAACCACACGCCGCGATCTTCGCAAATTTTATTTCCTTTTTCGGAATCGCATTGTTTTACATGTTACGCCGTTATAATAATTATAGCACTGTGGAAAGTCTCGTGTTACTGTTGTGAGGGCATTAGCCATAAAAAATTTTTTCTTAGTAATACGAAACGTTTCCATATTTCAAAACAATCATATGAAACTTTTGACTCATGAATATTACCATTTTCCGCCATTATTCCCTTTTTAAATACCTTTGTAGAACATGGTGGATCTGATGATTACGAGTATGATCTGGAAACATGCGAGGCATTTCAGCGTTATGGAAATCCATTTCCGATACTGCTTATTCCGACTCCATTGAGCCGGGTAACTTCATTCGACTCTCTGCACGACGTATTCTTCTCCGCCCACACCACACCATACAACAGTAGACCATCCACTCCGTTCTTCAGTCGAACCGCAACTCCCGTTTCGACACCTTATCCAAGTCGACCTGCTTCTCCGGGGTTAGATCACGCGTTTGTCCCTAATTGGTTGAAGATGACTCCACGTAATCCGTCAACACAGAATGAGACTAGATCGAACCTTGTTTCACCGAAACCTGTTCGATCAGATTCACGTCATCTTTTCAACCCGCAATTTCAATTTACGACGATCAACCCTGAAGGGCCCGCATTCACGTCGCATAACAATTATTCTCATCATGACGTTGATTCGACAACTCGAACATCGCATGTTTTAGAATCCTCGAATCACCACGTCCACTTTGATGAAAAGGCACTTCAACACATTAATTCGCCATCACCCAAGGAGTGTAATTATCAACGAGCAATATCGAAGGGACGTAAACCACCGAGCCTTTATCGTTTCCTGAGAGTTTATACAAAATTGACACTTTATTCAAAACGATTATTACGACGATTCATCGCTCGGAAAATATCGGGTGTTCTATCTTACCTGATAATGGTGGTTATACTTCGTGGTGGATTGATTAATGAATTTTGGAAGTTTATGATGCAGCAAGTCACCATGAAATTTGGATGGAGTGCAGCCACCACCGCGGCCATACTATCAGCCACATTCATTGGCCGCCCTGATAGCCGAGCACTAAGATGACGAGGTATTGGAGGAGGTTTCCTTTCGGTCATATAATTAATCATTCACGAGAGAGCATATTGAAAAAACAAAAAAGAATTTATTATGATAAAGTTGTATATAAGCATGCGCAAACGCAAAATCATAATTTGATTAATCAGAAAAACGAATATGATGAGAAAATACTCAACACAAGTAACACATAAGTATAGAATAAATAATTCACAAGTAGGACTTATTGTCTAAGAAAAAAAATATTATAATTTCATTTCTTTCTCTATGAATAAAATAATGTCTGAAAAAAAAAAAAAGAAAGCATTCATCTATCGAGGTACGCGACACATCATGTTTAATCACGTGTTCGCACATGAGTACAGTACAAGTAACCAGTACATACTGCATATCAAATGTTTGTCTTACAGAACGTGCAGATGACGTTCGCGTTCCTTCTCTCATACATCATTTATTATTGAGAATTTACTCGAATTCACAATTGTTCATTATCAATAATTTTCCTCGAATACATAATGTCGACTCTTAAAATTAACACAGTTTCAACTAAACCCTTCAATGATCAAAAACCTGGCACCAGTGGTCTAAGGAAGCGTGTCAAAGTCTTCCAGCAGGAAAATTACACGCTGAATTTTATTCAGGCCACCCTGAACGCCATGCCCGCCCCAGGTGCAAAAGGTTCCACCTTGGTCGTTGGAGGAGATGGAAGGTATTACTCTAAAGAGGCGGTGAACATAATTATTCGTGTTGCAGCCGGTAACCAAGTATGTAAAGAGTGGTGAGGAGTTCTCTCTTTAGTCGGCAATGGCAATCTCCACATTCCATTCTATTCTTATATTAAAACCGCTAATTGTTCTCTTTGGACATGATCTCACTTATTCAGGTTTCGAAGTTGATCATCGGAAAAAATGGAATTCTTTCCACTCCAGCTGCTTCAAACATCATCCGCAAGCGTAAAGCCAATGGCGGGATTCTCCTCACCGCTTCTCATAACCCAGGAGGTCGGTCTTTCCTATTCTTTATATGCTACCAATCTTCGCTCTTTCCGTAAATTAAAAGAAATCTCTCAATTTCTGCAGGGCCGGATCACGATTTCGGTATCAAATTCAATGTGAGCAACGGAGGTCCTGCACCTGAAAGCGTCACTAATCTAATTTATGAACATTCCAAAAAGATTGAACAAGTTTTCGCCTGTGAAGTACCTGAGGTAACGTAGAGAATGTGGGCATGAAGTTCCTCAAACGCACCATTAAATCGTGAACCATTATTTTTCGTAGATCGATCTGTCCACAATTGGAACTCAAACGTTTGGTGACTTCACGGTAGAAATCGTGGATTCTGTGCATGATTATGTCATTTTGTTAAAGGAAATTTTTGACTTTGAATTGATCAGAGGTTTCCTTGTAAAAAATCCCGATTTTAAATTACTTTTCGACGGTCTACACGGAGGTTCAATCTCTTTCTTTTTTTTTTTTATAATTCTCACGCATGATTACATCAACGACACTGGAATTTACTTTATTCATGGTATGCAATGTACACCTTAGTAACGGGACCTTATGCTGAACGTATTTTCATCGAGGAACTTGGCCTCCCGCGATCCACGATCCAAAATTATGTGCCACTGCCAGATTTTGGCGGCGGACATCCCGACCCCAATCTCACCTATGCAAATAGTCTTGTTGAACGCGTTGAAAGAGAGAATATTAATTTTGGCGCCGCGTCTGATGGTGACGGTGACCGTAACATGATTTATGGTAAAGGTGCTTTTGTCACGCCGTCGGATTCGGTAGCAGTAATCGCAGCGCACGCAGAGGTGATCCCATATTTTCAGAAGACTGGTGTTAAGGGTTTGGCACGCAGTATGCCGACGAGCGCGGCAATCGATTTGGTAGCTAAAAAGAAGGGTCTTGAGATATTTGAGGTTCCCACCGGTAAATCCATCGCTTTCAGGATATTTTATTTGAAAAAATTTTCGGTACCATTCTGAATAGCATGTGTAACTATTAGGATGGAAGTTCTTTGGTAATCTTATGGATGCCGGTAGATTGTCAATTTGTGGCGAAGAAAGTTTTGGAACTGGGTCCGATCATATCCGCGAAAAGGATGGTATATGGGCTGTTGCCGGTAAATTTCAAATTTGAAACTTTTTAAGAAATTCTCTCGGGGTTGAAGATGATTATAGGATTTTACATTTCACCATCAATAAACATAGCATGGCTTAACATTATCGCCGCGACGAACGAAAAGAAACCGGGTACAGGTATTAAGGAAATCCTTCTTGAACATTATCAAACTTACGGACGCAACTTTTTTTCAAGGTGTGCATAATAATATATTGTAGCAACGAAATTTATGAATTCCAATGTCTCCCTGTTTTTTTTTTTTTTAACTGATGCGTTATGGTCGAATAAAGGTATGACTATGAAGAAGTTAATGGTGAAGATGCAAACAAGATGATTGCACATCTCCGCCATCTGGTTGACTCGGGCAAGGATAGGTTCGTTGGGAAAACCTTTGGTCAATTCACAGTTTCTAGTGCCGATGATTTCGAATATCGTGATCCAATCGACAACAGCGTGTCCAAGAATCAGGTAATATGCGTTTATGTTCTCACTAAACAAAATAAATCGTCGATCAAATGTTAATTATATTATGCGGTATAGGGCATTCGTATAATCTTTACGGACGGTTCAAGAATTGTTGTTCGCCTTAGTGGGACCGGAAGTCAAGGGGCCACAATTCGTTTGTATATGGAAAAATATTCACGGAATGCATCTGAATATGAATCGGACACTCAGGAAGCCTTGAAACCATTGATTGATGTCGCATTAGAAATATCGGAGCTTCGGAAATTCACGGGAAGGGAAAAGCCGACAGTTATCACATAATTTCAAGAAGAAAAGTTTTCCAAATATATATATATATATATATTTTTTTTTTTTTTTTTTTTTTTTTTTCTATTAAAAAAAAAAAATAAATATAAAAAAAATTTCAAAGGACAAATGATTTTCCTTAACGAGTGCGCATTAATTCACAATTTCAATTTGACGATCGAGTAACTTGGACAAATTATAGTGATACAAAAAAACCAACTCAATCTGCATTGCATGTTTGTTATCGAATTTGAAAGATCAAATGAATTCGAACGAATCATTCCAATATCAAAACCTCGATATTAAACATCTGACTAACCTCGAAGTCTCCCGGGAATTCTACGATAACCTACAGCCTATCACAGCTCTAGACTTTGACGGCAATGGTGAATTTTGCGTTACTGCCTCAGCTGACGAGACCATAAACCTATATAACTGTCAAAATGGAAAGCAAGTAATAACGGAGTCCTCTTGCCGCCATTCTAATTAGACCTACTAAAACTTTTCTTCTTCGACGAACTTGCTTTAGCCACGAGAAATTTTCGGTCAGCAAGAAGTATGGCGTACATCTCACAAGGTTCACTCACTCAAGCGACGAAATAGTTTACGCGTCCACAAAAGAAAATGGCAGGTTCCTTTAACACTTTTGTCGTTGAAAGGTTGAGAATTGTGCTAAAAAAAAAAAAAAAAAAATTCGGTTAACTTAGTCTCATGGAATGTTTTCGTTAAATAAATGGATAGACACTTTGAGATATTTGTCATTACGCGATAATCAATTTATAAGGTACTTTGTTGGGCATAAAAATAGGCAAGTGTAAATGATGATTGATATTTGTAATCATTACATTGCGCAATCAGGACTGACATAATTTTCCACTGCGCGGGGTTCAATCATAGGGTAGTGGCTTTAGAAATGTCACCTGTAGATGATCAATTCATGACGGGCAGCGTCAATGAAGGGGTTAGATTGTGGGACCTAAAACAACCTAATGATGTTGTAATGTGTCATTGATCTGTATTTGATCATACTTGTAATCTCCGATTTCAGAATCCTAATTTTTTGTTAGTTATCATGACGGATAGGGATTCATAGATCTAAAATCGGAAAGACCTTGTGTGGGATATGATCCGTCTGGACTCGTGTTTGCGATTGCTATTCAACATCCCGATAGAATTATACAATTGTATGACAGCCGTAAGTTCGACGAGGTATAATACTTCGATCTTCGAATGACCAATCGTTTGCAGATTATTAATTGAGATATCTTTTGTCGAAATTTCATTTTAATCCTTTTACTCAGTCACCTTTCTCGACTTTCAAAGTCGAAGATAGTAACGCGAACCCTATCGTATCAAGTCCTCCAACAACCGCGAAACTCTCGGAATGGACGGGAATAAAGTTCAGCAATGATGGGCAAAAAATACTGATAACCACCTCGGGGGATGCGCATTATATAATTGATGCTTTTGATGGCAAAATAAAACAGAGATTGGTCGGTCATGTGGGGCTTGACAATGCGTCGGCTTTTTTGGGCGGAGAGGAAACTAGCTTTACACCAGACGGCCGTTATGTAATTTCAGGTTTTGTATATTGACTCTTTCTGTATATAATTGTTACGCTACACGCGCATTGCTAAAACTGCTGACTTTTTCTCCTCCAAAAAAAGGATCGCGAGATGGGAAAATACATTTTTGGGATACGACAGTGCCGCTGGAATTAACAGAATCCTCGGAATTGACTGATACAAGACCCATTAACACATTGAATCATCATGTCTTGCCTACCCAAGTTGTCAGATTTAATCCTCAAAAGTTGCTCATGGTTAGCGCGTGCAGGGATTTGGTAAGTTTTCAAATTCCCGAAACAGTTTCGCATCCAAAAAGGTCGATCATTGTTCCCTGCAATTTTCTCCTATTTTTTCCTTCGGGAAACAGAATTGCAGTTTTAATTAGATCGAAGATCAAATACATACATATAATATATGTATCTATGCAAACCATTGATTAAGGTTTGGCATATGGTTTTAATGCCCAAGTCGACCTCAAAAAATGTTGAGATTGCGCGTTTGGACGACAAAACCAACAAAAAACCGAATTCCGTGTGAATTAATATTAACTATTTTATTTTATTTTATTTTATTTTGCAATTGTATTCATTATATTAAAATTTAGGTATTTTGGCTTCCTTCTTTACAAACCTAGTTCCAAAAACGAGAATATCCCTATAAATCAAAATAGAAGGCCTACCCATGGCCAAGAAGATGCGCAAACAATTGAATGATGGGCCAGATCTTATGGGCGCAGAGTTAATTCGAATGAAAATTTAATTTTTTAAAAATAAATTCTATTTATTATTATTTTTTTTAAAAACACAATTTTAATTTATCTGCCTCTCAATCGATGATTATGGTACGTGCTGTGTATAATATACAAAAAGTTTCTACAAAAAAAAAATTTTTTTAAAATAAACAATTTTTAAAAAATAATAATCTTGTATGCTTATTTATTATAAATTACACAAAGCAAAATTTTTGAACCATCTTTTATTTTATTTCTCATTGATTAACTCATCATTTGTTTTTATCAATTTTGATTCTAAATATAACTTTGAAAGTGATTTGTTATTCTATTTACAGTTCAAGCAAATATTCTTTTAATTGTTATAATTGCAAATTCTTTATATAAGTTCTAATCAAAATTAAAATCTAATTGTTTTTGTTCAATTGTTTATTGTTTCTATTTTTTTTTTTTTTTGAGTATCTATAGCCAGGCTAGATTGTTAATTTATTAATCAATTGAAAACATAAGTACATTTTTATTTGAGCAGCATAATACATACTATAGCTAAACTATTATTCTAATCTAACCAATTCATTATATACATAAGAGTCTCTAAGTTTGACCTTGAAAACAATATTTTACTTCACAGTATCTTTGAATGAAAACCCTCCTAGTCCACTATAGATTATTATTACTGTATGTCTTATCAAGCCACTGAAATACAAGAAACTACAAAAGAATAGATTGAAAAAAAAAGAAGTAGGATATCTAAAAATGTCTAAATAGATAACAAAAAAATAAAAAGATAAAAAATTGAAAAAAAGATTTTCAGCTTTCTTCAAAGACTTGTTTCTCAAGACCTCTTCTTAATAAGAAATGCTTGATTGGAATATTCTTTCTTTTTCTAACTGTCTAAAGAACTTATCTATTCTTGATCTTGATTTTCTTCTTGTATACTGTCTAAGAAGACTTATCATCTAATAGAAATTTTTATTTCCAAAATATACTTGGTTCCAACATTCTTTGAGCAGTTATTTTTTAATCATTTATAATAGAGGAATGACTTATGATGGACCTCAAATTCATATATAACCTAATAGAAACTGAATCATGTATTTTCAGTATAATACCTTCCAACAGCCATATTTAATTAAAGAAATTTTACTGATATATATCTTTTATTACTCAAAAGATCAGATTTTTCAATAATTCTTTTATCTTGTAATAATAGGAAGATTTTGAAAGAGATAAAAATTCTCATCGATTATAATATCCTTCAATTAATAATGGGTTTCTAAAGTATTTAGTATATAAAATTTTGCAGATCACTTATTTCCTTTTTTGAGGAACAAAATTCATAACCCTTTATTTTAATAGGAACAAAGGTCAAGAAATGCTATAAATCAATAATTTGGATAATGAAGAACAATTATGGATAGTTTTTTTATAATTATTGATTTAAAATTTTTAATGTTTCCTAGTAAGAGACATTTGACTTTTGTCTCTACCTTCCCCTTTAACGATCTATTTTTATCTTCAACAACTTCTGAAAAAATGTATTCTCAACTATAACTAAAGGATTGGAGCTTAGTATAGATTAGAGACTCTTTGGTTTTATTGCTTGACCAGGATAAGAGAAAGATCTTGGTCTTGAACTTTGCTTAACTAAAATGATAGGAGAGAAAGACCTCAGTTTAAACAAATGGCAGCTTTTTCAATATCTGGGAACTTATTACTTATATTTTATTGATCTTATGGAACTTAATCTATAGTTTAATCCAATTGAAGAAGTGAAATAGATATAGAATATCAATTAACTTTTTTAATTATCAATGACATTATTGAAATATGTAAGTAATAATGGATTACTAAAGTATTTAGCATATAAAATTTCACAGATCACATATATTCCTTTTTGAGGAACAAAATTCATAGTTTTTTACTTTAATAGGGACAAAAGTTAGTAAATGTTATAAATCAATAATTTGAATAACAAAAAACAATTGTAAGTAGTTTTTTTATAGTTATAATTTTAAAATTTTTAATATTTTCTAGTAAGAAACATTTGAACTTTGTTCCTGTCTTCTCCTTTAAGGACCTATCTTTATATATGAGATGACCAGTAAAAGCTTGTTTATATTTAACTACTAATATGTTTCATGTCAACCAATCAGATATCAGGTGATATTATGCTATCAAAAATTTAGGGTCAAATTGAGATAGGTAAAATCCTTCAAGAAAATTATGAAAAACAGTAGACACTTTAAGAGAATATAAGACAGTATGTGAGAAGATGAATAATAAGCCTTCTTCTACCAACAGAATCACTATTTCTTGTCACTTCCAGCTTTATAAGGTAACACTTTACTTGTTAGTCCTTTTATTTTCTAAAACTTTCTTATCTTTAGTAGAGAAAGTGTATACTTGAGTTTTTTCCAGTTATTAGAGGCTTAGATTTTTATTTAAAAAAGCTTATAAACAAGTAAGAGAGAGTAGGAGAGATAAGTGAAGACAAGTTTCAAGTTGCTTTAATAAAAGTATAAAGATTTTATTAGTAAAGAAGTATAAAACTTCTTGCAAATATTTTTTTATATATAGTTAAATGATCAACAGAAAAAGTTTTGTTTATTGTTTCTATTATTTTTGTTGAAAATAAATATATAGTATATAATGAAATTTTGAAACTTTTTGGATCTTATATATTTATTACTTTTTTGAAATAATTGAGAATTTTTTTTTCATCATTTTTTTATACTATTAATTCCATATTACTTTTCTAAAATAATTGAGAATTTTTTTTTATATATTTTATATTTTCTACAACTAGTTCTTAATCCAAAAATCATATATAAAAATTCAAAATATTATAATTTATCTTAAAATTTTGATTGGTTTTTTTGTTTAATTATATTTTTATTTTTATTTCTATTTTAATTTGAATAAAATTTTATTTTATTTATTTATTTTATTTTAAGCTTTTTAATGGATTTTATTATATTTTATTTATTTTATTTTTAAATATTAGATAATTTAATAAGTACTTAATAGTTTTATTAATATTTTTTAGAATATCTACAATCAAATTAAATTATTATTTATTAATTAATTGAAAATATACTGTAAGTATATTTTATTTAAGTAATATAATATATATTGTAAATATATTTTATTTGAGTAATATACTATAGTAGTAATAAATAATAACAATCAAAGTAATATAATAAACTTTAATCAATTTTTATTTATTTTTTTTTTTTTTAAACCCTCTGTCAGGCTAGATATGTATGCTTTATTAAACATATGTATACTTTACATTAAAAATGTATCGCTAAAACTAAGTCTCTACCTAACTCACTCGTCTCTATTTTAAGAATTATTAAAACTCTAAGTGCAACTTCGGGAGTGATTTAT